GTGACTCCATTCGGATTAACGGGAGCACCAGGATGTTTTCAAACATTGATGAACAACATATTTCGACCTTATTTAGATAAGTTCGTTCTCGTATATCTTGACGACATACTCGTGTACAGCAAGACACAAGAAGAACACATACAACAATTAAAGATAATACTAGACCTCTTGAGAGAAAACAAGCTGTATGGGAAGCTATCAAAGTGTGAATTTCTCTCTCAAAACATTGAATACCTAGGACACATCATTAGCAAAGACGGTATTAAAGTAAACCCAAAGAAAATTGAAGCAGTAAAGAACTGGGAAACACCACAAAACATAACACATATACAAAGCTTTCTCGGACTTTGTAATTACTACAGAAGGTTTGTAAAAGACTTCGCAACAATTGCGACCCCTCTTTCAAACCTTACTCGAAAAAATAGTCCCTTCAAATGGGAAAAGCCGCAAGCGTTAGCTTTTCAGGAGCTAAAGAAGCGATTAACAGAAGCACCAGTACTAAGATGTGCAGATCCCAATCTACCATATCAACTAACTGCAGACGCATCCCAAACAGGTGTCGGAGCGGTACTGACCCAAACCGACGAATCCGGATGTCGTCCTGTAGCATACGCTTCTAGAAAACTAAATCCAGCAGAGCAAGGATACAGTACGCATGAGCGAGAGCTATTAGCTATCATCTATGCCCTACATACATGGAGACCATACTTACATGGTTCTAAATTCAAGATTATGACTGATCACCATCCGTTAAAATATCTGGATACACAGAAAACGTTATCCAGAAGACAAGCGAGATGGGTGGAATTCATGCAAGAATTCGACTATTCTATTGACTACATCAAAGGGAAATCAAACGTCGTAGCCGATGCACTATCTCGACAGTATAAAGAAGTACATCACGCATCATCAAATATAGTAAAACAGTTAATGGCATTCACAATGGTGAATGTAAGCCAAGAAACATTACGGAATTTACAACGAGACTATGAGAACGACGAATCGTTCAAAGAAAACTTCCAGGATCCTGTCGAGCCCTATACAAAAACGGGACAACGGTTGTATTTCGAAAGAAGGCTATGTATACCAAAAGGAGAACTCCGAAGGACCATATTACAAGATAACCATGAATCACTATTTGGTTCGCACAGAGGAAGTAATAAAACGGCTTCACTTATATCAAGGTTTTACTTTTGGCCGACTATGAAGAAAGAGATACACAATTATGTGAAGAAATGCCTTAAATGCCAAGAAGCAAAGAGCTCAACTCAAAACCAACTTGGAAACCTAAGACCGTTTCCACCACCAACCAAGAAATGGGAGGTCATATCAATGGACTTCATATTCGACTTACCTAAATCAACAGAGGGTACAACCGCAATTATGGTAGTGGTAGATAAACTTACGAAAAGAACACACTTTATACCACTCAAATCGGACAACAGCGCTAATACCATAGCAGCAACGTTCTACAAAGAAATATATAAACACCATGGACTGCCGCGGAAAATAATTTCAGATCGAGACACGCGATTCAGGGGGTCTTTCTGGATTGAACTTATGAAAATGCTTAAAGTTAAACTTAACTTTTCAACAGCATTTCATCCACAGACTGATGGACAGTCTGAAAGAGCATTTCGCACACTTCAGGAAATGCTTCGTTGTTATGTAAGCTACACTCAGAAAGACTGGGAAAAATACCTACCGGGTGTAGAATTTGCATACAACAACCACGTCAACGATACTACTCACCAAACACCATTCTTTCTGGAGTACGGTCAACACCCGTTCGCAATATCTGATATAGTCCATTCGGATATAAGCAAAGATCTGCACTCAAGAAACACCTCTGCAGATCATTTCCTTCAGGAACTTCAAACGGCAACAAACCTGGCAAAAGAATCAATCAACCAAGCCAACGCAAGAAGCGCCGAGACAGTTAATCAACATCGAAAACAATTAAAGTTCGACATAGGCGACAAAGTTATGCTATCGACTAAGAATCTACCAATCAATCCAGGGAGAACAAAGAAGTTCGCTCCGAAATACATCGGACCCTTCACAGTACTAGAAGTTTTAGCAGACGGTACCGCATACCGATTAGAGCTACCTTTGCAATACCGCAATATTCATCCAACATTCCACATATCACTTTTGAAACCATACCAAGAAGACCCGAGCAGACAACAAGAACCAACCAAATTCAAAATCCATACAAGAGCAGACAAGAAACGGATAGAGCGAATAATCACTCATCGTATATCAAACGGACAAGTGCAGTTCCTTGTGCACTTCAAGAACACAAATCCCATTGACGACACATGGATGGACAAGAATGACCCTGCAATAACACAACAACTCATCCAAACGTACAACAACCACTTATTCGCGGACGAATAATCGTTTTGAAAGGGGAGGAGTTGTAAGGGTAGGGTCCCGCTCAGCGTCTGACAGTAATATTTACACTGTAAACAAGAGCTGAGCGGGACGATGACGCACGATACGTGACGTGTACAGTACAGTACACGTCCCTACAGTGCTCACCTCAACCGTAAGGTCGTCCTCTTCGCCAATAAATGGGGACTCTATACAAGAAAGAGTCCCCGAGGACGATCCGGTCGGCCTCAGCAGGATCCTAATGGGATCCCGCGGGCGAAGAGGACCACGACAAGACGAAGGAGGAGACAAGATATGGTCACAAGGGGCCGTTTAGTGGGTTTTTTATTATAAATATATGTTTTAAGTGTAGTCTAGGCTGATGTAGCAACCATATAGATTTCTATAAAGAGTCGGTTGCAGAACAACGGAGAGGAGGAGAGGCAGGCACAACACCCGATTAACAACCGGAGCCCCTCAACCGACTAAACCAGAGAGTCAAAAGAACCTCTGAGTCAACCTATTCACAAAACTTCCGAATTTCCAAAAGTAAGTCAAAGTATTCAAAAACCTGCACACGTGTCCACCGTGCACGTTAAAATTACAGTTTACTGTACGTGCAGTACATGCGGCAGTAATGTATCCTGATTGACACTGACAGTGCCGTCATGGCAGGAGGTGAAGGCAACTGCAATACTCTAAACTTTCAGTACCGGGGACCAGCGGGGCTGCTGTGAGGCTGTGGGCGGAGACAAGAGGTGTAACATTGGGGGAAATTGAATTGTAGGTGAGGGGACGTTTTCCGTGGATGAGGGGTGATTGCGAGACTTGACAGTAAGCTGAATTAGAGAGGGGACGGACGAGATGGGCGAGAGGGATGTACGGTATGTGCCAAGTGGGGGAACCATTTTAGCTGTGAGAATTTGGATTTCCGCGCGACTTCGCGTCGATTTAGATAGTGTGACCAGCACTTTATGGAAGTACGCAGTGTCTGGCCGCCACGTGGTTGCAGTTATCGTAGTTTTGACCTTGCCGAAGGACAACTTCAGTGACCCCCGGCCCGATGGCGTTGCACCACACCGCGATTCGAGTGTTTGGGAGACAGAGATGGACTCGTGCTCCAGGAAATGCAATACGTGAGAGGCACGTGGCAAGTCGAGACGAATTTCGAGTTACCTGTTGTTTGCGAGGCACAGTATGCCCTGTTATTTACGTTCTATTCTGGCAGCTACCTCTAAGAGGTAAGCTTGCCAGTTGGATCACAAACGAAAGGCTGTTATGGGGAAAAGAGTAGATTCGGTAAGCGACAACAAGGTAGAGTGGGGAGGCTGAACCTCACGCAGAGATACTATGTGTTGGACAGTATTGCTGTGCGGTAAACCGGACGTCTGGGGTGCCAATAATTTAGTGTTGGTAAAAGTGTGAGCGCAGCATTGTACCGCATTTTGCAGTACTACAGCTGTGGCCTTGGTACGTACAGAGTCAGCACGCAATATATAAAGGGCTACAGCAAGCCTGTACTTCCGACTTGAGGTAAATTAGAGTGCAGCGAGCTGGATGGTGATGCAGAGGCAGCCTGACGGGTATGTCGAGCAGACACGCAGGTGAAACCGCCGTGTGCACAGTTGTGTACGGGCCCACGATACTGTATATGGCATATCCAAAGGCCCTCTGGTTTTACGTGTGCATATAATATATGCACACGTAAAACCAGAGGTGCGGGTCAGCTCCCTTCCATGAGCGCCGGTGTCTTAGTTTTTCGAATATTTTCGGCCGACCGGATCAAGTCTGGGAATCGCCCTTACAGTCCAGTCTCGTGCCTCCTGATACCCGTGCGAGTGTGTGAAAAGCGAATAAAATTCACTGTACTGTATCTCGTCGCCCGATGTCCAGCGTCCACCGTCGTGTCGTGTCATCGCGTCGCGCCTGTGAGGGCGACGAGCGTCATCACCTATCGCCAACTCCGTGCATCCGCATCCAACCAGACCCTTCCAGCTCGCATCACTAATCCTCCATCCCCACCACCACCATATTCCGCTCCATTACATTGGCAACCCCTCTTAAAGCCCAGTTCACCCGCCCACCCCACCGTCCCCGCCCCACACGGACACACCCTCCATCACCATGCCGTCTAGCAGCTACGCCGGCAGCGAGCCCCCTTCCCCAGACTATTCACCACCCAAGCCTGCATCTGCTTACCCTCTTTCCAATTTCCGGCACCGCCGCAGCGTCAGTCCTATCTCCCCCCTCATTCCATCTCTCGCTAAGCCCCGCTCCCTCCCCGACTTGGCCTTCCGTGCCTTCCACCGCGTCATCCCTGCCACCATCGCCTTCATCTTCGCACTCTTCATCCTCTCGCGTCTCTTCACCACCGACTCTTCCCCAAACCTCGCTTTCTCCCCCATCTTCTTTGAACACCACCCCTCGTCCCGCATCCCCAACCACTTGCTCGTGCAGGAGCTTCACAAATGGAAGAACGAAGAGTATGCCCGTGCCAATCTTC